TGACAAACACAAACACAAACACACACTTTCATAATAATGACCTCTGACTCTACAAGAATGACCTTAATCTTCAAAGATGAGTTAACTTTTTTTGAGCGAACATTGTCCACACAGACTGAGCTACTTTTAATGTCTCTGTTTGGTAATGACATTATGAGTCAAACAGGAGTTCAGCTGTACAGTTTGTTCAGGATAAGTGTTTCTAAAGTTTATCAGAAAGGTAAGAAACCTTCACAGTTTAAAGACGGAGAGTCTCCGCTAAGTGTTTGGGTTCTTTTCCTCTCTGATAATGTCTGGAAATGCAAACATGACTGATAATTCCCCTGACATATTATTTTATCAGATACACTCCACCGAGTTTCCACATGTACATTAATGCCGGTTGAAACAGAACTTGGTATACAGCTTTACACCCATCCTCCCATCTCGTCCCATCACTCTCTGCTCCTGAAACATTCCACCTCCACCAGCGGAGAACAAAACTCTACCATCGCCCCGGATGATCTCAGCAGTCTCTTGACTTTCAACACTTTATTTTATTTAGTTGTTCACTCAAACAGTGAAACAATCTTTGTATTGAGCAGAAAAGCCCCCGTGTGCAACTGTAAAACTGTTACCTCCATTATATCTCATGTATTTGGTGCAAAACTAGCTTCTCTGCTCAGGCTCTAAATAAATAAATCCTCGTGTTCTCACAGTGAGACAAATCAGAGAAAGAAATACGTCCTCAACGTCAGCCAGTATATTTAATAAGAATGAATAAATGATTTATAAAGTAAGCTGTTGACGAGTACACTTTCTTTTCAACACAGTACCACAGGTGTCAACAACCACAAGTCAACAGGTGTTTGTGAATTCAGAACCTGCCTTAATTAATCAGCCACTACGCAGCTATGGCAACCGGATGTGAAATCAGTAAACAGTGGATGTGTTTTTCATATTTGATGTAATTAAATAACTATAATGTTTAAACAATCTTGTTTCTTTGGTTTTTTGACAGCAGTTTGTCGACTGATGTGTTAATCATGGATGAAGTTATCTTTAATTACAGTGCACTCTAATTTTAAGAGTTTAAACCAGTGGTTCCCAACTGGTCCAGCCACGGGGTCCAGATTTGTCCTTAGTCATTAGTTGAAGGTCTACACAGTTTAATATATTCAGCGTCATACTTGCATTTGGCGATGTCGTTGAGCTCATTTGCTGTCTCTGTCAAGGAGTTGTTTGTTAGTCACTCACTCCACGGCAGGAAACAGCACTTCAAAATAAAAGCTCTGTGCTGGAAATTCACTGTACTCTGTACTGGTCCTCTCAGAATCGGCCCGTGACCCAGTTTTGGACCATGACTGACCATTTGGGAACCACAGGTTTAAACCATGATCAGCATTCATATTATTGGCAGAGTGCTGATCATGCGATTACACTGACGTGAGGTACTGAGGGTGTGTTGGGAACCCTCCCAGCATGCACATGTAGGGCTGGCTATCAGTACTTGACACCTTTAAAGTGTCAACTGAAATAACCTAGACTTTTTTCTATGGTTTTGTTCACAGCCAGTCACCGCAAGCATTCATCAGTTTAACGTGACGTGTAATTGGTCCACTACTGCAGCAGTTATCACCCATACATTTTGTGATGTGGTGTATTTGACGGAGTTGGTAGTTCAGCATGCCAAGATGGCACCAAAACGTTCAAAAGTATGGCTATACTACCCACCTGTGGAGTCTGGTGCCATTTTGTCCAACTGAAAGCTTCCATTCACATGATGGGTACTGAACGAAGTAAAACAGGTTTATAGTATTTATACTTTTATCAGGATTTTTAAACGAGCTCTACACATAGGTCAGTATGTTCCTGTATTTTTGCTCTGTTATGTATCCACACTTTGATCTCTGTTAAATATTAGATATTAACAGTGAATGTGGTCAGACTACGAGTGATGTTGGTGCGTGATTTTTGAGGTACTCCCCCACCAACATGGAAGAGATCGTAAAACGATCATCTGAAACCGAGACCGAAACCGCGACACAATTCATCCATGTCTCATATCACCCCCCTCCCTGAGTATTATGATGGAGCATTACTGATATTTGTGTTTGTTTTTGTTACTTATATTATCTTATTGATAATATGTCAGCACTTGAGTGCCTCGATTGTTACAGTAAGAATTATACCCAATGAGCCGATGCTGACTGATAAATTTTTTCAAAGTAAATGACAAAAAAAAAGATAATTTTTCTACTTCTTTTCACCCCTGCAGAACTGAAAATGTACTGAACCGTGAATTTTGTGCATCATCAACACTCTAATTAATCAGAAGCTGTTTTTTAAATGAAACCTCACTAAAATCTCTTAAAAGCAGTTTTAGTTACATTAATAGTTTTCGGCACAGTGAGTTCTGCAGTTCATCATTAATAACTTTTAGTGTTCAAATTAAAAATGTCTACGTTAATATCAAATTAAATGCCAAATGTTCCAACTTCTACCACTGGTAGGAGGCCCTGGGGCAGACCCAGAGCACGCTGGAGGGACTACATATCCCATCTGACCTGGGATCACCTCGGATTCCCCCAGGAGGAGCTGGAAAGCTTCACTGGGGAGAGGGACGTCTGGGGTGCTTTGCTCGGCCTGCTGCCTCCGTGACCCGGCCTCGGATAAGCAGACGAAAATGGATGGATGTTCTGACTCCTCTTGAAACAGCTAGAATCTTTTAGAGGAGTTTATTTCTTTTCCCTCACAGTATCTCAAACTGCATTCTGTATATTTTATCATGTATAGGAACAGGTCACTCTTCACTGTGATCTGTTGGTGTGACTTTCAGAAGTAAATTTTCATCATGGTTTCTCAGCCTGCATGTTCTCATCTGGGGTACTGAAGGAGTCCTGGACAGCTGAGTGGTTACAGTGCATAACAGCTTTGGGACCTTTGGAGCATGTCATACCCCTCGACCACTCTCAGCCATTTCTACACTGTTGTCATTATAATAAAGATGATAAGGTGAGCATAATGTGAATATAAGGGCATACATAGAGGGCAGACCTCTGCTAAGGCCAAATGCCTTGTCTCACAGTGTTAACAAAAGTGAAAAATAATTTGTGTATCCTAATGTTAATAATATTCAGATCCGCTCCAGTATTTAAAAGGTTCTCTTTTGGCCCACGCTTAACACTTTCCCCATGAAAATCGAGCCAGTAGTTTTTCTGTATTCCTGCTCACAACCAAACAAAATGAACCAAAACATACCAGTCTCAGCAGAGGTAATAATATCTATATCAAACCTCTTTTATTCTCAACCTGAGAAAGCCATTTTGTCTTTCAAAAATGACTTCATGTTTGTGGTTCACAGTGAAACGTGGGTCATTAGCCAGCTGTCAATGAGCTGCACTTTGCAAGTTAACAAAGAACCCAGCTCTGTCATCACGGTCAGTTATCAGTGAAATACACAGCACGAGTCAGGAAACATTAAGAGGAGGCTACTGACTGCTGTGAGTCACTGGTTTCCTTTCATCATTGTGTGATTTAAGTCTGAAGACATGAAAAGAGAAACTCTGTGCAGAGCTGTGACCACACTGGTTACCACAACAGGTCCTGATGGTGTTGCTGGGGGAGGTGGTGGTGAGGGGAGGAAAAGTAACTAATTTTCATTTACTCAAGTACTCCTGTGATTACAATCTTGAGTTACTTTATTATTCTACTCCATTTCATTTCATTTCACTGACAGATATAGAGAGATAACAGATGTAGTTTACATGAAAATATCTGAACATTTTATAATATAAGAGGATTTCTAAGTTATAGTAATTTTATTCAGCTGCTCACAGACTGAGTGATTCATAAGTGTGGAGTAAAGCCTGGTTATTAATTTGAAGTTTTGGTTGTTTTTCTGATCTGACAGTGAAACAAGGAACAGGATCAGTCCGGTTGTTTCAAACATCCAAAGGAGGAGCTTCCTCTCTTCCTGCAAGGCCATGGAAATATTCAGTAACCCTGTGTGTGGATGGGGGTGGTGTTGGAGGGTTTCTTCCCGCCGATTTTTATCCACCATTTTTTATATGACTCACTGACCACCTGACACTCTGACAGCCAATCATCTGTCATTAAAGTGCAGCAGTATTATCAGCAAAAGTAGTTAACGTATCAAAAGTAAAAGGTTTTGTTCGGGAGAAAAATGTGCCCTTGTTTTGGTAGTAATAATGTATGAATGTCAGAGCAGCATGTCACCGCTGTAGCTGCTCAAGGTGGTGCCAGTTTAATGCTGTTAATTTTGTCCAGGGGTTCCCAACCTAGGGGTCAGGTCCTTCCAAAGGTTCACCAGATAAATTTGAGTGGTTGTGAGATGATTAATGAGAGATTGGAAGAAAAAGAAACTAAGCTCTGATATACGTATAGAAGTTTAGAGAGGGATGAACTGCCAACACTGCAGAGAGACATCTGAAACACAACAAGGAGACACCACTGAATAATTAGGAGGTGAAAAGACAAAAAGGCTGGTTTAATCTTCCAATGGACTGTATGTTATAAGCTTAACAACTTGATCAGAAGATACAATATTTCCGGGGCGTCGGTGGTTTAGTGGTAGAGCAGGCGCCCCATGTACAAGGCTGTTGCCACAGCGGCCCGGGTTCGACTCCAGCTTGTGGCCCTTTGCTGCATGTCACTCCCTCTCTCTCTCCCCCTTTCACACTTGTCTGTCCTGTCCATTAAAGGCTAAAAATGCCCAAAAGAAGATACAATATCTCCTTGTGAAATGTGGTGGAGAAGAGGTATAAAGAAGCAGAAAAACAAAATATTTGAGTAGAGTACAAGTAGGCTTCCTCAAAATACTTCTTCTGTTCAGGTTTTACTGAGTTACATCCCTCTGTCGCTTACAGTTCAGGTGGGAAAGAAAAAGAATTAATGCCCCCTAGCAACTGAATGGCATGAATTGAATCTGTTTGCCTACCAACCCTTTTTGGCGGGCAGAGACACTTCCTGTATCTCAGAGTTAGTTCAGGCTGCTCTCTGCAGAGCAATCAGTTGCATCAGTCAGCTGACAAAGAAACAACCTCTGCTGCGGTTTTGTTGATTTATTCTTACTCATCTCACAAACACTGGTGAGTTTCTTTGTTTCTTACTAATTTCTGCTTTTCAGTGACTGAAAAAAACTTTCAGCACTTCAAGTGTTAATTTAGCAGCTCTTTGTACTGACTTTATACTCGGTTTTGTTTTCCATTGTATGATGCAATATCATTTGGTGGGAAACCAACCTGACAATGCAGTGATGAAAACATGACGATGTTCAGGTTTTATATGTTAAATATGTGTGTTTTAAACTTTTTTCTACAAAGTGCTTCACCTCTCTTCTTTCATATATGTGTTTTTTTTGTTTTCCCCTCCTCCTTACTTCTCCAGGTGTTCAGATGTGCATTATTCTGCACAGACATGTGTGAACGCCCAAATTTTATTTTTTATTTTTTGGTTGTATATATGTAGATATTGTAAAGTGTATGTATGTACAACTGAAGACACACAAATATATGAAGTGCTGGATGGTTTTGATAATCTATGGTTTCTTGTTGTGGAATGATTTAACTGTCCACACATGATAAAAACATATTTTCAGTAGCAATTTGATTTTATGCAAGTCTGAGTTCGCTCAGCAGGTCATTACAGATTTGAGGTGATCTTCAGTCTTGCACTTTTACACCTTTCGGATAAAAAGATTAAAATAATTTCCTCTTCTCTGGGCGGAGGTGGTGAGTTCTGATGTTTTGGGAGATTTTGGAGATATGTGCAAGTCTGGGGACAGTGTGAAAATGATATAATTTGTATTTATAGAACAAGTATGTACATGTCAGTGGAGAAAAAATTACTATAAGTAGTCTGAGGAGTGCTACTTCACACATTCAAGTGCCAAAAACAAGTGTTCATTGGATCCAAGGAAACTTCCAGAGATAAAAAAGTTAGTCAAAACCACAAAAATACCAAGGCACACTATTTTACAAAAATTAAAAAGCCTTTATTAAACTGGCTTAACGCCTGCGCGTTACAACATGTAGTCTTCATCAGGGGTTTTATGCCCTGATGAAGACTACATGTAGATGCCTTGGTATTTTTGTGGTTTTGACAACCATTTTTTAAGTACGTACATGTATTAAGAAAATGGTTGTACACATAAATGTATAATAAAGGAAAATGAGCAGAGAAGTTGGCTAAAAGAAGTTGCAGAAGTTTCAAATCTGTTCCTGAAAAAGTTTTGTTTCTGGAAGTAATATTTTCCTCATCATTAATGTATATTTCCTCTCCACTGAATGTTTCCTGACAACAGACTGTGTTCTCTGCTTGATTCCTTTAATCTTCTGGAAACACCGAACTCACCACCCTGCTGTGTGAATTATGTGCACAGTTTTCTAATTAACAGTCAATAAACATACATTAAAATATAGAAAATGACCTGCTGTCTGATGCTTTCGGGTACATCTAAAGGTGTGAGCTGTGGCTTTTCTGCTTTCACTTCCGCTCTCTATCTGCTGTCTCATTTCTTCTATTTCACATTTCCCTCTCATGATTTATTCCCCCCACAAAATCAGTAGCATGATGGCTGTTATGTTTAAACCTTTAAAATAATGTAAGTTTTGTTTTTATAGTCACAATGAAGATCGCAGCCTTCAATGTCAAACAGCTGGGAATGAGTAAAGTCAGCAACCCATTTGTGAGGGAAAATCTTATCAAGGTAATTCAGTGTGCGTGACCACAGTCAAATCTCTGATCATCATGATGAGTAATTTTGTTTCACTTCTTTGTGATGCTTGTACAGTATGGTGTGTTAATAGGGAACTGTTTATATGTAGCTCAGAGATGTGATGAACACATTCAGTTTCAGAGTTTGTTTGATCATCACGGAAACAAACATATTTGACACTTTATGACAGCGAGGCAGATTTAATGACACACTAAATGTTGTTCAAAAACACTACATAGATGATACTTAGACAGTCAAAAATACTGTAATAATATTACAGTGTTTGGTTCTTTGTCTCAGATATTAATATTGATTGATGAAATCCATTTAGCTGTTTCAAGTTCAAGCTTATTGTTGCAGCTCAGTCACCAGAAGAAAATGTTGACATTGTACATGTCTGCAAACCATGGACACGTTATCTTTGTATATTTAATATGTATCATATCAACATTTCTAAAGTGACCTATGGTCCTGATTTTAATGTATATGAACTTGCTTCATTAATGGGATGTATATGGGAAAGTGTAGACTGCTGCAGACCACTGGTCGAGACCAATAAACAACAACACCAGTTGTTGTTTAGTGAGTAATCTCTGCATTTCCAGTGGGTACTGTGCCACTGAAAGTGGGTGTTTTGAGCAAAAATATGACATTTACCGAACCATAAGCAAGTGGGATTTGTGCCTAAAAATAACAACATGTTAACCACTGCAGTGTCCAAATGTAAAGTTTCAACATATGCGCTACATGATAATGTACAGATGTAATGTATCCGTGGTTTGCAGAAACATACACTACCAACATTTACTCTAGCAGTTGGGTTGATTGTTCATGTTGGCTCACTGTCACAGTGTCATGGTTTACTGGGGAGCTTCGTTAATGGCATTAGTAACACTTGTGTTTCTCCTAATCTGACAACTCAAAATTTCTGCTGGGAAAAGTTATATTGTGTTGTATTATTATTTTTGTTGTGTTTAATGATTAATTAGACCATATCTCATTACTTGAGTTATTAGTGTGTATGTTGGCTGTTTTTCTTGCAGATTGTGTCCCGGTACAGTGTGGTGGTGATGTTGGAGGTGATAGATGCAACTGGTAGGGCCATGAACAAGTTCCACACAGCCCTCAACAACCACAAGTGAGTTTTCTATGTAAATACTCAGTGATTCCTCTGGAGCATCTTTGCACAGTAAAATAGTACAAATAGAAACTTCACATAATGCTCTAAAGAGCTAACTTTGAAGTAGCATAAAGTGCAAAATAAGACATATATGTAAGGATAGTAATGCCCTACTCAGAATTTTTTCATGTTGCTTCAGATAATGTTTGCGTTTGTCATAACCAATTATTTATTATAAAGTCAACTCAGAAATTGCATTCCAGCTTCCGTCTCTGGAAGCTGGCGTGCGACTGCAGCCGTTAGGGACCCCAATAGGCTCCATGTAACCAACTGAAGAAATATCTGGAGCATTTTTAAGTAAAAAAAAAATGGCAGGTATTTTGACATGCAGGTGTAATTAAACACATTAGTAAAGGCTGCATTCCACTTAGATGCACACCAAAATGGCCCATTGTGGTTCCAGCTCCACAAAGATGTTTTAGACTGATCTGTGGTGTTAACCCAAGTTCAAGTTCAAGATATCTTTATTGTCCCTGAGGGGCAATTTGTGGTGCAGCCAGCAGCAGAACAATAGAAATAACAATGACAATTACAGTTCAAATAAGCAATCCACAAAATACAATAGAGAATAACAATAAATAGTAAAAAACATAAAAAGGTAAAGTGACCACAGTGCATGCAATACACCTTAAAATGGCTTAAAAAGGGCTAAAAAATCATCATCCATTATTTAAAAGGCCAATGGCTGCTGGAACCCAGGACTTTTTAATTCTGCCTGTCCTACATCTGGGCATACAAAATCTGCATCCAGATGGGAGCAGCTTGAATTCTGATGCCAGGGGATGACTGGGGTCAGACAAGATTTGTTTTGCTTTCCTCAGGGACCTAGTTTTGTGTAAAAGAGAGATGTCTGTCAGTCTTAATTTTGCCCTTACATTTGTCTAAAAAGTAAGCCCCCCTGGCTATTTGCTACAGGTCTGCACTGCATTGGGCTTACATCTTACTGGAAAATTTTTTTGTGTTATTGTATTCACACTTTTTACACATTATAAAATTTGTAATTCAGGCATAGCTTTGTTGCAGATCTTATTTGGTGATTATTTTGTTCCCATAGATCTTAGTCGTTGTTAAAATTATTAGAGCGGACAAATAGTTTTCTTCAAATATGAATAAAAAAGCTGAGGAACATGTTTCAACTTTTCAGAAATGTCAGTAGCAGAAATGAGAGAATAATTAGAGTGACAGAGACTCAAGGAACAGATGGGAGAGGGTGCTGGTCTTTGTTTTGCTATGCAGATCGAATCTAGTTTTTCAATAAACTTAATTCATAGAATCTCATGAATAACATTAGGATGTGGGGAAAAAAACATATTTTACCGATGTTGTGATCTTGTGATGACTTAGTAAGTGTTTCAGTTTTAGTTGTTTCTGTTTTCTGACAGAGATAACAAACAACGTCCGTACGAAATGAAGTGCAGCGAACCTCTGGGACGAAGCTCCTACAGGGAGAAGTTTGTTTTCTTCTACAGGTATGAAGTGAATAATTGACTATGAATGAAAGCCAAATACAAAATCTGCTTATTTAGTAAAACATTTAAAAGAAAAAAAAATTTTTTTTGAAAATATAACCTGCCTCTGGATCTGCATCAAAATTGACAAAGTGTGCAAAATTTAGAGAAAGTTAAAGGTCAAGTTTGTAGGATTTAAGGGGATAAATGGCATAAATAGAATAAAATGTTCATAACTGTATTTTCATTAGTGTATAATCACCTGGAGATAGTGGTGTTTTTGTCACCTTAGAATGAGCTGTTTATATCTACTTAAGGAGTGGGTCCTTTCCCATGGAGTCCGACATTTTGTTCTTGTTTAGTTTTAGGATAATGTGTGTTATGAATAGCACCTGTATAGTTCAGGAGCATAGACTATATTAAGCAATTTAACAAAGCCACAATGGCATCACCCACTGGCTTGTGGGCTCCCTCTTTAAAGCCTCAAGTTTGACATTTTGGAGAGGGCTATATAAAAATTCACCCAATACACTTATCATAAAGGGGGAAATTAACAATACAGACCAATTTTTTTTTTCTACCAGGTTGTAAAAATGTTTATTTCTGCTGTAAATTTGGGCATTTTAACGTGGGGGTCTGTGGGGACTGGAGCCAGACTGAAGTGGCCATCCAAAGAACGTTGCATTCTTTATCATGACCACATGATGGTGCTATTGGACCAGTTACCTCACACAGCTTTCCACAAAGTTTAGCTGAATTACTTCACATTGTTTTTAGTGATCCTGCTAGATAACAAATACATGACAAAGCAAAGATCTAAATGCAAAAAAGGTGACAGAGGTATTGAGTACATCTGCAAAAATGATATTGAAATTATGGATGTTATGTTCTAGGGCGGCACGGTGGTGTAGTGGTTAGCACTGTCGCCTCACAGCAAGAGGGTTCCTGTTTCAATCCCAGGAGGGAGGGGTGCAGAGTTTGCATGTTCTCCCTGTGTCAGTGTGGGCTTCCTCCGGGTGCTCCAGCTTCCTCCCACAGTCCAAAGACATGCAGGTTAATTGGTGACTCTAAATTGTCCGTAGGTGTGAATGTGAGTGTGAATGGTTGTCTGTCTCTATGTGTCAGCCCTGTGATAGTCTGGAGACCTGTCCAGGGTGAACCCTGCCTCTCACCCAGTGACAGCTGGGATAGGCTCCAGCCCCCGCGACCCTCCAAAATGGATGGATGTTATGCTCTGTCTACTTACGGGGACTGATACTATGCATGTGTTTGTGTGTGTCTCAGAAAGGATCAGGTGAAAATGATCAACTCCTACCAGTATGAAGAAGAAGAAGAAGAAGAAGAAGAAGAAGAAGAAGAGGATGATGAAGAAGAAGAAGAGGATGATGAAGAAGAAGAGGATGAAGAAGAAGAAGAAGAGGATGAAGATGAAGAAGAAGAAGAGGATGAAGAAGAAGAAGAAGAGGATGAAGAAGAAGAAGAAGAAGAAGAGGATGAAGATTATGAACATGGTGAAGAATATGAGGATGAAGAAGATGACGATGATGAATATGAGGATGATGAAGATGAAGATGATGAGGAAGATGAAGATGAAGATGATACAGAAGATGAAGCTGCGGACGTGCTCGCCAGAGAGCCTTACATTCTGCAGTTCAAGAGTCCTACAACAGGTACCCACGTGTGTGTCTGTCTTGCACACTTTGTGAGGACCAATACCAGTTTTAGATGTGAAGGTGAATGTGACGACATTTTGACTGATCCTCAGTGTTGGACAAACTTCAGGTTGTTTTAAGGTTAAGACTTCATTTTAAAGTTGGAATTAGGTTAGATTTAGGATTAGGGTTTAGGGGATGTTTTATGTCTATGAGGGTCCTCACAAGTATGTGTGTGTGTTTTTGTGTTTGTTTGTCTTACTTTGTGTGTTTGTGCTTCCAGTTGTGAAGAAGCTGGCACTGATCCCTGTCCACACCAAACCAGGGGACGCAGAGAGAGAGCTGGACGCTGTGGACGATGTGGTTAAAGCAGTGAGGAAAAGATGGAGGACTACTGTGAGTTGGGAATGTATAAAGAATGTAAAGTATTGTAAAATTAATGGTTAATATGTGATTGGTTTTTGATTGTTATTTTTTAGATATTTTTTTATTTTCTTGGTATACTTCAAAAGACACACAACAGAAAACTGATGACAAAAATCACACAAAAAAAACAGAAAAACAAAAAAAACAAATAATAATAATAAAAAAAGAACACAGCAAAGACAAAAAACAAACAAACAAAACAAACAAACAAGCCCCCCATACCCTCACACACACACACACACACACACACACACACACACACACACACACACACACACACACACACACACAAGGAGAGAAACATAGACATTATATAAATGAGTCCATATTGACCAATCCTCTAGATGACCAAACTGATGTCAACAGCTGACTTCATCAAGACGACACTCAGCTGGCAAGAGACCAAACTGCTTCACTGGTTATTGCAACCAAGATACTTCATTACAGGGCCCCAGGAGTCATCCCATTTGTTTTGAAAAGATTGTCTGCTGAATCGCAATTTCTCCATATATACTAGATACAAGTTCATGTATCCAGTTCTGAAAAGATGGTGGATTTGATGACTTCCAGTCTGCAAGTATGAGTTTTTTGGCTAGCACTGTACCCATTAACAGGGCAGATTGGATGTAGGAAGGAAAGGCTAATGAGTTGGCTGAACATCCAAAAACGGCCAAGTCTCTGTCAGGTAGAAGTGAGATGTGGAATACTTCAGAAAAGAAAAGAAAAATTCTTGACCAGAATAAACATATAGCTGGATAATCCCAAAATAAATGTAACAAGGTACCATTGTTTAATTTACATTTATCCCAAATTGGAGAAACAGAAGGATAAAATTTTTTGCAGCATGACCTTAGAATAGTGACACCGATGTATGACTTTCAACTGAATTAACCTGTGTCTGCTGTTTATTGAACATCTATGAATGTATGAAAGTGCAGTCGTCCATACCCTGTCAGGTCAGGGAGAACATCACTCATTTCTCTTTCCCAGGCCCTCTTAATAGAGAGTGCCGGTTCAGGCTCTTTGCCAAAAAAAAACTGTAAAATTGGAAATAAGTTTCTTTCTATTCGGAGAAATTGAGAGTAATTCCAAAAACGTATGTCCTTTCCCTATGGTTTCAAACTGAGGGATGTTCTCCCGTACGAAATGTCTAAGTTGCATATATCTAAAAAAAAAAATGAGAATGAGGTAAATTATATTTTTCACTTAATTGGCCAAAAGATGCAAAGCTGTTGTCAATATAGAAATCTTTTAAACATCTTAGCCCTTTCACATACCATGCTGCAAATAAGAAAGCATTTAGGTTTGCTGCTCCCTCTGCCTGGAACATGTTACAGAAAACTTTGAAACAAAATGAGTTGGTCTCATTGAGCACTTTTAATGGGAAATTGGAAGACCTGGAGGCAGAAACATCTGGTTGTAGATGTTTTGCCTGAGGCTTTTATTACTGTAGCTGACCTTGAATTGTTGCTGATTTGGATGCTAAGTGTTTTTAATGTTTGTGTCCACCTTGTGTTTGTGTGTATGTGTGATTATGCTGCTGCCTGTCTTGGCCAGGACACTCTTGTAAAAGAGATTTTTAATCTCAATGAGTCTTTTCCTGGTTAAATAAAGGTTAAATAAAAATAAAATAAATGTGCTGTCCACTAATGCTGGGGTAAAGGCATGATTATGGCAGACTGGTGTATGAATCGATATGTTGGGAGCTTTATGGGTGTTTTTTATTTGAGTGAGGATCTTAAGTGAGTTTCTCACTATAAGACTATGGCTTACTGACTTAACAGATGCAACATTAGTAAACAATAAAGAAGACAAGGAGATAATGGCTTTAATAGAGATGCAAGTTCTAATTTTATCCACAAGGGGGCAGAGTTGAGTAATTCATGGTCTGGTGACCCCCACTGCCAGTATGCCAATGCCCAAGCATTTGCTGCCCAGTAATATTGTTTGAATACCGGAAGACCCAAACCTCCATTTTGGGTAGGTCTGAAAATATGTTTTTTAGATAATCTGTGTTTTTTATATCCCCAAATAAAATCCAAAATAATTGTCTCTATTTTCTTAAAATAATCATTTGATATAAATATTGGTAGATTTTGAAAGAGATATAAAAATTTTAGTAGAGATATCATTTTTATGGCATTTACTCTACCTATCATAGACAGTGGCAGGGTTCTCCAGTATTCTATGTTGGATTTCAATTTATCAATAGCCACCAAGAGGTTTAGTTCTAACAATAATTTTTGATTGTTATTTTTTAACAAGGTGGATGAACCCCTATTGGTCTGTGAGTTTCCTCGTTGGCTGAACCACTGCTACAGATGCTGCGCTGTTAAAATAAAAACGTTCTATCGAAACATGTTAATTCTCAATAACTCATTGGTTGTAGATCTGGGTCAGAGCGATTGGATGGAAGGCAGGGGGACTCATTTTGTTAACAATAGGGATGGTCACCCCTCTCAAATGTTTCTGCACACATGGATTTGTTTTATCATAATTATGGTTGTGTTGTTATTTCTTTTGCAGAACATTATGATTTTGGGGGATTTTAATGCAGGTGGACGTTATCTCTCCAAGAAGAGGAAGAAGAAGATTCGCATCTCTTCTCCTCCTTATCACTGGCTGATAAAGGATGATGTCGACACGACGACGAGCAACTGTAATGACAACACTTACGACAGGTAGCTCACATCTCAGGGCAGTTGTCTGAGTGGATTTGTGCCTTGTTTAAGTGTTTTAAAAGGTTGTGATGCATGTCCTGCCAACAGGATCGTGGTGTTCGGACAGGCCATGCTGAAAGCCGTCGTCCCCAGGTCAGCCAAGCCCTTCAACTTCCAGAGAGCGTTCAGACTGACTGATGAACAAGTGAGGCTCATCTTCAGTGTGAAGTCATTGAGTACTTATTGTATTTTAAAGGAGACGTGTCATTATTCAAACTTTATTTGTTTTCCAGGCGCAAAGCATCAGTGACCACTACCCTGTGGAGGTGGAGCTGAAGCCCCATACAAACGCCACCAAAAGAACCTCAGGTTGACCTCAGTGACACAAACTGAACTATTTCATCAAACGGCATTTTGATTTTATTTCAGTTCACATTCTGAACACAATTCAATTATATTACAGTCTACTCAGTCTGATCAATCACATCACAGTCTTTAATGATCATCACTTAGCTCAGATTCAGACTGAAAACACTCCAGCGCTGAAACAGTGTAGGGGGCTGCATTGATGGGGGCAGGTACCAATGAGACAATGAAATAAAACCCAGAAAATCCAAAGTGAATTACAGATTAATGTGTTTCAAGGCAATGCATCTTTATTGATACAACAAACAGGCAATTCAAAGTGCATTACACAGGAAACTAAAAGCATTAGAGTGACATTTCACAAGAGACATCCATGCTAGGATTGCCGTCTGTGACATCACAGAGTCTCCACTCCCTCGAGGGATGCAGCCAGTACCATAATCTCCCACTAACAGGGAAACAGGTTGTATGGTTTCACCTTTTAAGTTACTAATTGTCATATGCAATTAGAGGAAACAATTGTTGTTTGTTTGTTTGGCGAACAGTAATCTTAAATTTCAGGTTCCTTCTACCAATGCTCATTTAATACGTATTAAGGGAAATCTCTCAAGTAGCCATTGCTCATTTAATTCGTACAAAAGGAAACACACAAGTAAAACAAACTAACAAACAATAATCCTATGTGTTTGTCCTTTCTCAGATCATTCCATCATTCTTGTCATGTCTTCATTCGAAGGCTTCATCACATCGTCACAGCCGTCTAATCAGTTCCACAACCAGAAAACCTTCCATCAGCTTCACAGAAAGCTATTCATAACAATCTCGTCCAATGCACACCCTCAGCCCATTTCGCTAGTTAGCGTCAGCTCCCCCGTTCCTCTCTAGATGTCACGTTTATTCGCAGTTTTACCACCCATTGTATCTATAAAACAATAATAATAATAATAATAATAATAATAATAATTATAATAATAAAATGTCCTTTTCTGCAAAGAACTACTTATTCGGAGCCAGCTTTTCATTAATTTGGCCACTGGCAGTTGCAAACCGCGACATACATTCTGATGTTAACCAAAACTTGCAAAAAGGTTTCTGCTCTTACAGCAAACGCTTGCCACTCACTTCCGACCTTCTTAGCCCTGCATCCATTCTCGTTCAGGCTACTCATCCCCAGAGTCAACCCCTCTGTAGCGTCCATAGTCCGTGCTTTGAATTCCTCCCAATGCATCTACCACCCTCCACTTTGTCCCTGTTTTTCTAACGCAACTTAATACTTCTGACTCTCTCTTGTTCTCACTCCTGAGCAGTAAATCAATGCAGCCTCCACCGCTGGCCACCACATTCGCTCCCATGTTTGCAACAGTTGTAACCATTTCCTCTTCCCAGACACTCATATATCCGTCCCAGACAAGCAGTAATGGACAACCTCCTGCCGCACATTCATCACCTTCTCTCATTTGTTTATTCTTCCTCAAAATTTTGTATTTCCCCGTCTTACTAAAGCTTTACAGATCACTTGGTCATGGTGCAGTCCTAGTGCTAGTAAGCCAGTTTACTAGTTGGCTTAAGTCTGGAAGCAGGACCATGCCTCACTACTCAAGACCTCATTATTCCTAGCCCTTGACCCTCATCCCTACATCTCTCAACCCTTCATCCCTTCATCCCTCATCCATTCGACCCTCATCCCTTCATCCCTCCATCCTCATCTTTCAGTTCTCTTATCCCAAGATCCTCACCCCTTCACCTTTTCTCTGAACTCATAATCCATCATACGCAATAAACCATTCAGAATCTTTATGTTATTGGTGTGGTCTTTGTTATTGAAATGTAGTTTTATAAGTAGGCTCAAAAACAAAGACCACGCCTCGAACATATCCCATTTACACCCAAAAGTATTTAAGCGTACCTGATGCAATCTCTTTCTCTTTGACACATTTCTCACAT